GATGGCGTAGGCTGCAGCCCCTGCTGCAGTGGGTTGCTATGGGCTACCGTGTGTAGCCAGCAGCCAGCATGAGCGGCCAGCAGCCACTGTGAGCGGTCGTCCAGAAGCCGGCAACTGATCTGCATCGCCCGGGAAGAGCGCAATGATGGTGCCAACTTGGGCCAGTGAAACAATGTCCTCCACAACTAGCCTGAAGAACAAAACGATAGCAACTTGTCTGTTCCCCTTCCCCCAATTCCCCAGAGCTGTTCCCATCCCCCTAAGTTCCCAATAAAAAAAAAAAAGATTCCATTAGAGTTGACCTATAAAATTGTCAGAATATTTAAGGCAACCTCGTCTCCATCAACACAAGACTCATTATATATTTATTCCAGGAATGAACACATAGCTAGAATTGAAATTTAAATGTTATTATATATAAACTTAATTTCATACACTCACCTGTTTTACAGAACAAATTCTTCACCAAGTTTCTTTTTTCAAATCGTAGTATTAATATTAACTTTTGAACTCCCATGTTTCAAATCAAATATTAATGAGCAAAAACAACAAACAAGTCATCGTCAAGAGTATAAACGAGAAGTCACAGTTTGGGAAGGAGAAAAATTGCAAAAGAAATACCTGTAAAGTTCTACTATCCAAAACACATAAAGAAGTCTTCCAACTCATCGATGAGAAAACTACCAACCTCATTAAAACATGGGCCAAAGCCTTAAACAGGCATCTCCCTAGACAAGACATACAAAAGACAAAATGATATGTAAAAAGATGCTCAACATCATATGTCACCAGGGAAATGCACATGAAAACAACGACAAGAATCAAACACAGAGCAAGTGAAACCACATGACACACCTATTAGGAGGGGCCAGAACCCAGAACATGGACAACATCAAGTGCTGGTGAGGACGTGGAGCAGAAGGAACTCGCACTCACTGCCGGTGGGAATGCAAAATGCTGCAGCCTCTTGGGTACACAGTTTGGTGGCTCTTACACATCCTCTCACCATAAGATCAAGCAATTGTGCTTCTCCATAGTTTACCCGAAGAGTTGAAAACGTTTATCCACCCAATAGTCTACACGTGTGTTCACAGCAGCTTTATCCATAATTTCCAAAACTAGAAAGCAACCAAGATGTCTGTCAACAGGTGAATGGAGGAGTAAACTGAGGTGCATACAGACAATGGAATATTATTCAGTGCTATAGAGAAAGAAACTATCAAGCCACAAAAACACATGGAGGAAACCTAGATACATATTAAGTGAAAGAAGCCAATCTGAAAAAGGCACATAATGTATGATTCCAGCTATGACATTGCAGAAAAGGCAAAATTATGGAGACAGTAAAAAGTCCAGGGCTGGCCGGGGTTTCGGAGAGGGAGATACGAACATGTGGAGCACAGAGAATATTCAGGGCTGTGACACTACACTGCATGACACGTCATCATAAATGTTCCACATGCTCAGAATGGACAGTCCCACAGTGAACCCCAAGGAGAACTATGAACTCTGCGTGACAATTATGTGTCAATGTAGTTTCATCTATGTAACAAATGTACCTCTGTGGGTAGAAGGGACGTGTGGACAAGGGAGAGGCTGTGCATGTGGGAGGGGCACATGGGAATTCTCTGTCGCTTCTACTTCATTTTACTGTGAACTAAAAGTGCTCTTAACATAAAAGTCCTCCTCAGGCTCCTGCTTTTCCTAAATATCTGATCTCAGGTCCACATATCTTTCCAGTAGTTTGACATGCTCTTACGAGAACATAAATATTTGCATCCACAGGTAAAAAACACCATATTGCTGCACAACAGCTAGGATGACCATCAAAGAAAAACAAACTATCAAAGGTTGGCAAAAATGCAAAGAAATCGGACCCTTATGCTCTCTTGAATGAAATACCAACTGATGAAAACAGTATGAAAAACAATATGAAGGTCTCTCAAAAAATTAAAAATAGAATTGTGCTATGATGCAGCCATCCCACATCGGCATACATTTCCAAGAGACTTCAAAGGAGGCTCTGCAAGAGCCATGTGCACACCCATGCACACTGTAGCATTATCCACAAAACCCTGTAATGCACAGAAGCAGCCCAAATGGCCATCGATAGATGAATGGGTGAAGAAATGTAGCATATACATACAACGGAATATTATTCAGCCTTAAAATAGAAACAGTTCCTCTCACCTGATACAACATAGAAAAACCCTGAGGACTTTTAAGTAAAGCTAACCAGTCACAAAACACAGATAACTATATGAACTCACTTATGTGAGTTGCCTAATGCAGTCCTCCTCATAGAACAAAAAGAAGGTTAGTAGCCACAGGCTTGGGGTGAAGGGAGATGACAAAGTGGTTGTTTAATGGGTACGCAGTCAGTTTTGCAACATGGAAATTTCCAGAGATCAGTTGCACAACAATGTGAATATACTTAACACGACTGGACTGTATAGGTAGAGAGTAGAATTTTAGTCACGTTTTACCAAAATTGAAAATGAGAAATAATATCTAAAAACCATAGTTACATTTCAAAAATTACTTTGAATTCAAAAAGTGGTTCTCTCACAAAGAGAATATGAAATCATCAGTAAACAGATGTTAAATTTAGACTATTACCACAACTGCTTAACTGCAAAGGATAAGAAAAGCACTATTAACAAAAGACATAAACAACATGAGTCATGCACAAAGTTGCAGTAAAATGATACAAACATGCACATAATGTTAATGGCAATAGACATACACCTGATTTGTATGTGAATCAAATCTTACATTTTCTTAAGTGTACTGAGCTTAAAACTGTCCTTCACATTCATATATAGAAGTAACATCCAAAACTGCAAGTAAATAAGTTTGAGGAAACTACCATAAAAAAGAAAACACATTGTTACAGAACTGCAACATGAGAATAAGAGACAACACATCCCAGAACTGTGAACACTACACAGATGTACTATTGAGGATCCTTCTGTAGAACTCATAAAGAGCAAGCATTCTCAATCATCAGAAGCATGTTGTACGGCAGGAAAATTTCCCAGACAATGCATTAGAATCATTCATAAACAGCTCTAAGGAAAATTTTAATAAAAAACCATTTAAAACACACTGAAGAAATTTTCTGTGATTAATATATTTTCCTTCTCTAACACAAAATAAATGGGCTGCAATCCATCATCCAGAGAGGAAAAAAAACCTTTCACTGCTAAACAAAAGTACAAGGAATTAATAAAATATCAGAGAATCAGGTATCTGGAAAATCTACATTTCAGATTAGGTATACCATGATTGAGAGACATGCTGCTGAAGACAGATGACAAACTACATGATTACTTTTTGCCTGAAGTAAACTCAAATTGAGGAAGCAAACATTTTCCAAAATACAGGAACCTAATAATTCTGCAACTCATTTCTTACCAACGGATTTCATTTGAGCACGTCAGAATCTCAAGCCACTAATCTGACAGAGACCTATTTCAGAAATGGAAAACATAGAAGGCCCAGGGAGCTTTGGACTGAACAAGACAGAATTATAGCATGATAGTCATTAAGAAATCAGGGAACAACAGAGACCTCACTATAAGTTGGACAATGTTCTAAGCTCCCCTATGATATTATTTTAGAATTCTGTGAGGTAAACAGATACATTGAAGTATTCTTACATGCAGGGATTGGGAGTAGAAACTCAAAATTTCTAATGTTAGCTCATACAAAGCAAAGGGACATTTTGAAGTGAAACCAAGATTGACAGTGTCTGACTTTCGGGAGATGCCTTGCACTGAGATGAAATTACTGAATCTGAACTTTGTAGAGTTATGTTTGACACATCATTTGGATTAGAAATTATAAAGCAGAAAATGTGTGACATCTGTATCCAGTACCCCTGGGATTTCTGCTCCAAATTCCAGGACCTCCACCACTTCTATCACAAACTCCTTACAAGAAGCAATAACAGAACTTTAAATATGGCTTCTGCGAGAATTCCTCAGCAGAGAGCACAGATTTTCCCCGGCCCCGAAGGCAATGGAACAGTAGCCAGCCCAAGGCGGCCCCCACAGTCCAGGGGGAACGGCATCAGCCCTCACTGCAATGTGACCCAGACCAATGAGCAGGATAGTCCCTAGAGGATGTAGGAGCACAGGACGTTGGACAGGACTGTCCCTTTGACAGCAACAGAAAGAAACCTGGACTTCTCACATCCTTTCCAATAAAGCGAAGCTTCCTAAACCACATCTTAAGGTCTGGCTTCCTCAGGGACCTTTGGCCCTCTCACCTGTGTCATCTGCTTCCTTCATTCCTACCTACCTGGGTGGATGGATACTGTCTTTTTTTTATTTACATCCCAGGTGTCCTTCATTCTCTCCAAAGAGGTGACCAGGTCTGGCATAGAAACAGCAAGATCTGTTTATTAGTAAAAGGAACATGAGTTTTGATGGAGATTCTCCAATTTCCAATCCAGTATGTGCTCAGGTAAAAGGAAAGGACACTGCAGAATATTAGAATATTCTAGAAATGGATTCCCCCAAAACAGTTATCTGACAGCACCTTTACTCTACTAGACAACATGGAAAGTTTTCAGATCCTGAGTTCCACTTCAAGGACATCATGAAGACTTCTTTTCTACACCAGCAAACCCCCAGTTGGTACTCAGAGCCGGGATGTGAAACTCGACCACACAGAGCAGAAGCACCCAGGAGACGCTGTACTGATGAAGGAAACACATGCCTGCGGTGGGGTAGGAGTTCTGGAAGGAAGTCAGCCTCACCCAGGGAGCGCAGGTTCCTGTAGTTCTCCAGCATCACTTCCATGTACAGTTTCCGCTCAGCCGGGTGCAGGCACTCCCACTCCTCTTTACAGAAATCTATGGCCACATCCCTGAATGTCAACCGTCCCTGAAACAAAAGACACATTTACCATGTGGCCATGGACAAGGTCATAACATGACCCAATATGAAAACAGAATTTGGAGAACTGTTTTTGACCTAGAGAGTATCTGGAATTAGACGTTAAGGTCACTGACAGTAATATTCTCTAGTATATTTTCCAATGCTGAGAAAGAAGGATGACGTGTGATCCACAAACAACTGGACAGACTTTCCTTATCTGGAAGATAAATTTTTAGGCATCAACACAGGCATATGGGTTTTTGAGTCTTATGTTTGTATCATACAAGATACATCGTGTACATTTCTTGGCTGGAAATGTCATGATGAGTTAGAAATGCAAAGTACTTCTCATATTTTCCCGGGGACAAGAAGGAACTGCACTGTTGTAAAAATGCAGATTCCAACTGAGGAGTTCGGGGGTGGGACCTGAGTTTCCACATTTAACAAACTCACTTTGACTAGTGACGCCAATGTCTCTGGTCCATGTGTCACACTGTTCAATAGCACAAAGGAAGAAAACAGGGTAAAGAATTCATTACATGACTTGGAAATGACAGAGTTCTATGGAATTTACACTTCTCATAGAAGCACAGCAACACAATCTTTTTTGAAAACCTGCTGTATACTATAGAGAACGTTCTGTTTTGTAGATATTAATTCATAATGCACATACGTAATCTCAGAACGATATTATTCTTCCTCTTGTATGAGAATATTTTATGAAGCGTCCAGTAAATGGTAGAGCTTCGGTTTTACTCCAAGGTGTCTGGTGAAATTATCAAAAAGGTCCAGATCAATACGCATAGACGACCTTCATGAATGTTCATAGCAGTTTCCGTAACTCAGATGAGAAACAAGTGAAGCGTGAGAAGAAAGACTTGCTCAAACAGTGTTAAGATTTTATGCGCTCAGTCAGACAAACGTATGGGAATTGTGTGCACATTACAAGTGACTATGGAAGGAAATTTTCATGTCACTGAAATCACAATTATTTTAATTCTGTAAATATCAAAAATGTCTTTGTGGATGATACTCATTGTATTTTATATACACAACAGGAAGAGGAACATGCAATAACATAAAATGAGTTGTTTCTTTGAAAAAATTTGCGTATCTTTTCTGTTGAACTATACATTACAAATTTACCACATTTCAACACCTTAATATATGATTCTTGTAAACTTTCTTGAAAACACAAAACCTGATGAAGTAGAGAATGTC